AATTCGTGAAACCATGCGGGATATTCAGGATCGTCATAATCAACCTGCAAAAGAGTAATAGGATTAGACGTTAGACTTACTATGTGGTAATGTATGCATAAAATTGAAGTTATAATACTTTTTTCCTCAACCACTTAATAAAGTGTTGATCTTTCGTTTTGTGTAACGCAGTTGTCGATATACCAGGGATTGCTTCTTCGACTTGAGTCACAAATTGGGTGTAAAATTATGTTATGTTATTTAATCAATTATATATATATATATATATATATAAGTGTGTATGTTTATATGTTTACCTTTCAAAATAACCAATCAATGGATGCTCGCAATTGAGAAGAATATAAAAGTGTGCACTATGGACGTCTTCATCACTCGACCACCAAACCTATTTCAATTTCCCACCAATCGCCCAATTTGACAAAAGATGCCTGGAACATCTTCTTCCATATATGTCGGCACGACACCACCATCATCATATCTTCTTGGAGCTCGTTTCTTTGTACGTACTTTTGGTGCAAAGTAGTACGATGTGAAATGTGATGTTTCTTACGTCAAACTTCCCACAACAATAGAACCTTCAACTTTAGCTAGGTTTTTGCCTTTTTCTTTCAAAGTTTTCATGGCCCTTTCATACTGATGCATCCATCCATAATGCACAGGTCCACGAAGTAATGCCTCATACGGGAGGTGGACAACTAGGTGCTCCATGACGTCAAAAAAGTAGGCGGAAATAGTTTCTCCAAGTTGCACATTAAGATGGAGATGCCCATGAAGTTGTTGGATAACTTTCTCTTTAAGAGTGATGGTGCTCAGATCCCTAAAAATCATATAATTCTTTATATATTACAAAAACAAAAATTAAACACATTAGTATATTCATATATATATATATATATATATATATATATATAAAAAGAAATAAATTAATGTTTGCGTCGTATTATATTAATTACCTAAAAGTGCTTCATGTATTTTTGCAGGTAGTAGCTCCGCAAATGCAAAGGAAAGTAGTCGATGCATAAAGTCATGAAAATCATGGTTGTTCATCCCGGAGAACTTTTGCCCTTTCTCAACACATCTAGAGATTTGAAACATACCCATCAGAGAACTTTACTTCTGAAGCCACCCAGTTGAACAACGCATACTTTTTTCTGATGATAGTCTGAATATCAGAACTGAAACTTGCTCATTGCTTTTTATATGTAGCTCACTTCTTGAGCAGATATCGGGTAAGTCCAACCTCGATTTTACGTTGTCCTTTGTCTTCCTTGGGACATTCAATATAGTGTTCACGATGTTCTCAAAAAAATTGTTCTCTATATGCATCACATCGAGGTTGTGGCACAAAAGAAGATCTTTCTAATATGGAAATTCCCAAAATATATTCTTCTTGTGCCAATTGTGCTAAACACCATAAGAATCATGCATATTACTGGGAACATGCCAATTCCCACCACGAGGAGCTGTTACAAGAGCACCGTAGTAATTGATTTGCGCTTCGATTTGTTCTCCAGTTAAATATGGAGGAGGAGTGTCTCTGACAACCCTTTTGTGCATGAACAATGTCTTGTTTCTTTGGTATGGGTGGTAAACGGGAAGAAATCGACGGTGACAATCGAACCAACTAGTCTTCCTACCATTCTTTAACTGAAACGCCTATGTCATTCCATTACAATATGGACAAGCTAATCTCCCATGTCATGTAGTCCATCCAGACAACATCCCATATGCAGGAAAGTCACTTATGGTCCACAAAAGCATCGCTCGCATCGTAAAATTTGTTTTTGTTGAACAATCATATGTCCTCACCCCTATTACGCCCTCGACCTTGCGGTTTGAATCGTGGCTTCTTACAAAATCGATATTCTTCTAACTTCTCATCATCTCCCCAGTAAATCATGCAGTTGTCGGTGCAAACGTCTATCATCTCCGAGGGCAACCCAAGACTATATACCAATTTCTGAATCTCATAATAAGATTCAGCAGACACATTGTCTTCTGGCAAATACTCTTTAAACAAGTCTGCCCATGCATCCATACAATTCTCAGGTAGATTGTGATCGGTTTTAATACTCATCATTCTAGCAGCCAACGACAATTTAGACAGACCTTCTCTACAACCACTGTAAATTGGCTCATTCGCAGCTTATAACATTTTATAAAACTTTTTTGCATCTAAGTTAGGTTCTTCAACTTCATCATCATCATGCGTTACAAATGCATCACCTACCATATCATGAACCCTATCAGAATCTACCATTTGTTCCTCCTCGTGATAGCTATTTTCATTATGAAAATGATCAACCGGTTCAACCTGAAAATTGCTATTACTACTTCTAGCTTCATTCCTACAACTAGCATCTTCTTCATGTTGATACCAAATATAATAATATGGCATGAAACCTCTATTTATTAAAGTTTCCAAACATTTTCACAAGGGCCTAATTTTGTATTGCAGCATTTCCGACAAGGACAGAACATCTTACCACTTTCATGCGTGAGTGGTGTAGCATAATCTTGATGCATAAACGTCTCCAACCCTTCAAAACATTATTTCGTCACTCTCCCGTTATTATCTCTGTGTGAATACATCCACTTCTGCAACTCGAAAATATTTCAACATTTTTTTTGTTTGATCAAATTTAAAGCTGATTTTTTTTTTTTGGTGTGTTTGGAAAGAATTACAAATTGTGGTATTTATAGAAATTTTTGAATCTGAACATTACTAGGAAATTGCAAGGAAAGGTAGGTACAAAACACGTTTTTAGATTTGAAATAGATATTTTCTAGCCAGCTCCTCGCTAATTAGAAGTAAAAGAAAATTTCCTCCTAATTTCGTAGTAATGTTTTACGTGGACTTTACGAGGAAAAGTTTTACTACGAAATTACGAGGAAATGTTCTTTTGCCACGTAGTTTCCTCGTAATTTTACTAAGGCCTTACGAGGAAACAATTTTCTCATTTTTTTACGAGGAACTTACTTTGCTTCTAGTTTTCCTCGTAAAACCGAAGTAATTTCGTAGTAAATTTACGAGGAAAGATTTTTCTAGTAAAATTTACTAGTAAATGCGGAGTTTTCTTGTAGTGATGATTCTTTTTAATAATATGATTTAAATATTTAACGAGTGTATTTTCTTTTCTTTTTATTTAAGTTGTAACATAGATGATTTTAAATATATCAAAACCGTTCATTTCAGGTCAATGACTCTAAAAGTCAATGTATGAGAGTAAATAAAAAAAATCTTTATTTAATTTGTACAAGAATTAATATTAAAAAAAAAGTAAACTATTTTGACATTGAATATGAGATCAAATGTTTTTAAAAGAAACTACATAAGATCATTTTGAATCCCTCACAACATATCAGTGTCATAATTATTTAATATGGAAATGCCTACTGTAGACAAGCAAAATATATCTTACCACATATAATAGTTTCTCACCTAAAACTTTCTAAAAAACAAAAATAATTATTATATGAATCTCTTGCAAATGTAAATTTAAAGAAAAACCACAAAATCATACAAAAATAATAATCTAAATCATAAGTAAAATATATCCCGGGACCGGACCTAGTATATCTATAAACTTAAGAAAACCCGTCTACAATTGTTTTCATAGACTAAAGTGATTCAAGTAAATATGTTAATCTTTTACAAAGTATTTATGCAGTACTCGTTTTTTGTTTCTTAGTGTGTTTTCTCTATTTTGATGGATTTTGTGTTGAACATTTAAATGAAAAAAAATACTACTATCTTGCTGGAATTTTTTTTTTTAAATCATCAAACAAAATTTTAATAGAACTCAGTTTCTTATTTATTAGAAAGTGTGTTACAATTTTAGTTATTTCAACTTCTCAACATAAAAATCGTAAAGAAACAAAGAGGCGTACAATTAATCTTAAGCTGGTCTTGTCTATTGGCAGTTGTGCTGCCATATGCTGCTGTGTGTCCTGGTCTCCTGGACGCATGCTTTTGAGACTTTGGAGTTAATGATTTCATGCAGACTGTTGTTGTAATAAAAAATATCTATATTTGATGATTGTTGTGTTACTTGATTACTCTCTATGTGGAATATACTATGCGGTTGGTTGTTGTTTTGTGATGTTTAAGATATAAGTGATCGAATTTGGGTTGTCGAGTTAACATCAAATGGATGTGATTCGGTTCTTCACGCAGTAGTTAAGTGACAAAAAAAAAGGAAGTTATGACCAGGACGAGGACTGTGACTAGCTAACCCAAATATAACATTAGATAGGAAAATGTTTTTCTTTTCTTCCATTACCAATCAACAAGAAAAAGATATAGTTAGAAAATATTTCATTCTCTATACGAAACCGCAGTAGCAAAATTAGAAGATAGTTTCAACCAAGTGAAGTTTTATACTGTTCATTATTTTATATCTACTTATTTTGAACTATGCAAGCTTAGACATGTTTTAAAACATATACCAATAATTCATGAAAATATCTGGCCACCATGAAGTATCGTCAGCTGATTCATTTACAGTCATCAAATTTTTTCACGTGAAAGTTAGAGAAACCTTTGGTCCAACTGATCATTCCTAGTTATCAATTCAAATCTTTCCAACCCTTAGAACTGTCCAAATACAACTCTGTCAAAAGTTCGTTCAAACAATTATCATAAAAAAGCATGCAGAAACCCATGTTATTTTCAAATTTCATAACGTTATACAAGGACACAAAATTAAAGTCTATAAATTTTTGTTTTTGTTTTTGTTTTACTGTAGGATTTGTTTGTTTTTTTTTAGATTTTATAAAGGGACAAAACTTGTGTTTTTCCAAAAAGAATTTTTATTTGGAATCTGAAGGCCCAGTCCATTTAATAAGGACGGAACGAGTTACTTTTGTAAAATAGGCCGAGTAGATGCATTGTCATACCTTTAGGGTTTTTATAAGACAGATATAAATACCAAAAACCTAACCAGTTCTCCGTCCTTTGTCTCTGCAACTAACCTTTTCGCCGCAAGAGAGAAGCAGCCATGGTTAAGTTCCTGAAGCAGAACAAAGCTGTGATCCTCCTTCAAGGCCGTTACGCCGGCAAGAAGGCAGTGATCATCCGTTCCTTCGACGACGGAAACCGCGAGCGTCCTTACGGTCACTGCCTCGTGGCCGGACTCAAGAAGTATCCGAGCAAAGTCATCCGCAAGGACTCAGCCAAGAAGACGGCCAAGAAATCTAGAGTCAAGTGCTTCATCAAGGTCGTGAACTACCAGCATCTGATGCCTACTCGTTACACGTTGGACGTGGATCTGAAGGAGGTTGCGACTCTCGAAGCTCTGGCTTCGAAGGATAAGAAGGTGGCGGCACTTAAGGAGGCTAAGGCTAAGCTCGAGGAGAGGTTCAAGACTGGAAAGAACAGGTGGTTCTTTACCAAGCTCAGGTTTTGAAGAACCCATTTTGTCGTTTCCGTTTTTCTTATCCTTTGTAATGGAATTGGAATTTACAGTATGCTTATGTAGTTTTGAGAATGAATGTGGAACATGTTTTGGATGGTTTAAGATGTTTGGTTTGAAGTTTAATTATTGAATTTTTGTCATTTTAGTTATGATCATTTGCAGTTTTAATGCCTTAATATATATATTGTCATATAGATTAGTCTTTATTTGTGAAAAAGCAATTGACAAAAAGTTACATCCAATTTTGTTGAGGTTGTGTTGTCTTCTCTTGTTGTTGTTGTTGGTTGCTTGTTTTGATGCGTGAATTACTTTTCGCCATTTCTATATAATCTGTTGAGGCTTTACTGGTGGAGACATGTGTCAGATTACAATGATCATAATGAAAATGTCGTAGCCATGGTTAAATACTCTGGGAGCACCCTTGGCTTCTTAAAACACAGGGCATGAGTGTGAAGGTATAGGCTATTGTCACAGTGAATTTAAAAACTGGTTTATGGGTTTTACAAAAGTATTGTTATTGTAGTTTTGTCATTGAGTCCTTTAAACGAAAACATAATTATTCTCTCTCTAACCTTCGCTTGGCGATTTCTAGAATCTCCGGGAGAAAACACAAACCGCTTCTGAATCTCAATCAAATCTCAAGAATTTCCAACTTGCAATCCGAACCGAATCAAGATCCTAATCACCAATACTATCAACAAACTGATCTGAAACTTGGAGCTGATAAAGTTAATTGGTCAGTAGTTTTCCCTCAAACATGAGTATGTGATGTGCACCGAATTAAACCAGATGAAACAGAGGCAGTATGAGCTGATGGATATAGGAACAAATCCATATAAGACTGCCCAAGAAAGGAAGAATGCCATTGAAGAGTACATTACAATCAAAGAAGTAGGAGAATCTTCTGTAGCAGTGGTCCCTATGCTTACAGATCCTAATCAGAATCAAAGGTTACAAGGGGAAACGGAAGTCGCAGCGGAAAAAAAAAAATACAAACTGAAGACAATCAGAATCAACTCGAGGGTCAAACAATTCCGATACCTGCTCAATTAGAACAAGGCACTAAGAGGAAGAGTACAGAAGATAGTGAAGAAGGAACATCATCATCAAAACGTATTGTGATAGAACAACCTGACCATGGTTTGGTAGTTCTCCACTTGATAAAATTGCCTACACCTCATGGTTAAATAGTAAGGGAAATGGTTGGGATGCCAACACGTCTCATGATTCATCTGCTATGCGAAACTAATTCACATTTTACTTGTATATTCTACATGATATTGGTCATTAATTTTGACTCATTTGAATACATGGAAAGAGGGGATTGCATATTCTTTTGTGGATTAGTTTTGGTCCTTTCATAAGTCTAGATATAGCTTAATAAAAAAATGATAAAATTTTAACTAAAAATAAGTGAATAATTTGTTATTGTTCCAAAGAGTGTATTCAATAAAAACTTTAAGAATATTTTAAAAATATTCATATGTTTCAGGTTTATTCTCAATTTAAATAAATTGTAGAAAATAATAATAAAATAAAGTTTAATATTATCTGACAATCATAATTATAAAAGAAAATATAATTATTAAATTGTATTGTCCTTGACCCTATTAACTAACTGAAACTAAATTAATAAAAATAAATACAGATATATGAAATATAAGCACTAAAATTAAAGCTTAAATTTTAAGTAAATATAAGTATACATTTCTTATTAATTTTTTTTGTCAAAACATTTCTTAGTAATTTGTTATATTTAAAAACATTTCTTACTTACGTCCAGCAATTATATAATTGAGATCTATATATAAAGAAAATTAGAAGATGCATCATATAATGTTAATTTAGTGTTATTTTATGACAAATTTAAGATATTTATGAAAATAGTCATTTAGTAATGATACATTTGAAAATTGATACTAAATTTGTGAAAAAAACGAAATATCCCCCATCATATCTCACCCCGTATACTTTATACTCCATCCGTTTCTAATTAATTGTCATTCTGGGAGAAAAAAATTGTTTCAAAATAAGTGTTGTTTTAGAGTTTCTATATAAAATTTATTAGTTTAATATAATATTTTATTTTTCTATTCGTTGAAAAATTGTTAGGTGTATAGGTAATTGTATTTTTTCTTGAAAACATGTAAATTTAAATGTTTCTTTAATATGTGTGAAAAACGTAGAATGACAATTAAAATAAAACAAATGGAGTAATATTTTACATTCGTGCTCAAATTAAAACCGATTCAGCTACGAAAAATGAAAAAGAAAACAAAGCAAAAAAAAAATTGAAAAAATATTTATAGAAAAATCAATGCAGTCGTTGAAAAAAAAAAAGAAGAAAAATTATCCGTTTTTATAAACCAGAAATAGCTGCCCAACCCTTGTATCCCTCTCGAACCCTAATCAAGCCGGCTCATCTCACCAACAAAATTGCATCTCTCCGTCGCCCTCAGATTCTTCCTCAAACCCTTCTCCTTCCTCTGATTCCACCTGATTCTTCCTCAGAACCGAAGTCCTTTTAACCGTAATTTAATCAAAGTTTTTTTTTACCTAACCGCGTAACCAACCAACCAACCGACCCGGTCACAACCTACAAACCAAACAGGTTCGTTTAATTCGTCTTTTGTTTCTTCTTACACATCATCAAAGAACCTCACCGGTTCTGTCTCTCCCCCTCGATCGATCTTAATGTTTCATTGGTTTTTCTGTCTCTTGTAAGGGAGAATATATGGATTCAGATTTGGAGCCAGTAGCTCTCACACCCCAGAAACAAGACAGTGCATGGAAACACTGCGAGGTTTTCAGATACGGAGAACGAGTTCAGATGAAATGTCTCTACTGCAAGAAGATGTTCAAAGGAGGCGGCATCACACGTGTCAAAGAGCATCTCGCTGGTAAGAAAGGTCAAGGCACAATCTGTGACCAAGTCCCCGAAGAGGTCCGTCTCTACTTGCAGCAGTGTATCGATGGCACCGTGAGGCGTCAGAGGAAGAGGCGAAGGTCTAGCGTTGAGCCTTTGCCTATTGCTTACTTCCCTCCGGAGACTCAGGCCCTTGAGGGTTCTGATGTGAACAATGGTGATGTTGTAGCAGCTGCTGGTCAAAGCATGGGGAGGACGAAGCAGAGGACTTACAGGAGTAGGAAGAACAGTAATAATAATAATAATAATGCTTTTGAGAGGAGTGAGTTGGGTAATGTTGAGGATTTGATTGGTGGAGATATGGATAATCTGATCCCTGTTGCTATTAGTAGCGTTAAGACCATTGTGCATCCTTCTTCGAAGACCGTTCACATGGCGATTGGGAGGTTTTTGTTTGATATCGGAGCTGACTTTGACGCTGTGAGCTCCGTTAATTTCCAGCCGTTGGTCGATGCGATTGTTTCCGGAGGGTTCGGTGTTTCTCTGCCTGATAATGAAGACCTCAAAGGTTGGATTCTGAAGAGTTGTGTAGAGGAAGTTAAGAAAGATATTGATGAATGCAGAACGTTGTGGAAGAGGACAGGCTGTTCGGTTCTAGTCCAGGAATCGAGTTCGGACAAAGGTTATAAAGTACTTAACTTTTTAGTTCACTGTCCGGAGAAAGTAGTGTTTCTGAAATCCGTTGAGGCTTCTGAAGATGATGATAAGCTGTGTGAGCTGTTTAAGGAGGTGGTTGAAGAGATCGGTGACACCAATGTTGTTCAAGTTATCACCAAATGTGAAGACCATTACGTCTCTGCAGGGAAGAAGCTGATGGAAGCGTATCCTTCTCTCTACTGGGTTCCTTGTGCTGCACAATGCGTAGACAAGATGCTTGAAGAGTTCGGGAAGGTTGATTGGATCAGAGAAATCATCGAGAAAGCAAGGACCGTCACAAGGACCATCTACAACCACAGTGGCGTCTTGAACCTGATGAAGAAGTTCACTTTCGGCAACGACATTCTCCAGCCAGCTATCACCAGTTACTCCACTAACTTCGCAACGATGGCGAGAATCGCTGAGCTAAAGCCTCATTTACAGGAGATGGTTACTTCCATCGAGTGGAACGACTGTTCTTATTCAAAAGAAGCTGGTGGTTTAGCAATGACAGAGACTATCAATGACGAGCGTTTCTGGAAGACGTTAACGTTGGCAAACAATATAAGTGTTCCTCTTTTACGCGTTTTGAGGATTGTTTGTTCAGCAAGGAGGCCTGGAATGGGGTATGTCTATGCGGCAGTGTACAAAGCAAAGGAGGCGATTAAGACGCATCTGGTTCACAGGGAGGATTACTTAATCCACTGGAAGATTATAGATAAGTGGTGGTTGCAGCAGCAGCGTCTTCCTTTGCATGCTGCTGGTTTCTATCTTAACCCTAAGTTCCTCTATAACATCGGTGAAGAAATGCGTAGCGAGATACATTTAGCTGTGGTGGATTGCATAGAGAAGCTGGTCCCTGATGATGATACTCAAGATATAATCCCAAAGGACATAAACTCTTACAAAAATGCTGTTGGGATCTTCGGAAGGAACTTAGCTATCGGAGCTCGAGACACAATGCTTCCTGGTACGTCAACTGTTTTTGTTCAAGTGTTTTGATAAGTACTTAAAAACATGTTTGGTTGTTTTTAGCTGAGTGGTGGTCTACATATGGGGAAAGCTGCTTGAACCTGTCACAGTTTGCTATACGTCTTCTAAGTCAAACATGTAGCACATTGGTTGGCTCTGAGAGGATCCTGATACCAGTGGAGAAAGCATATGAATCCAAGAACTCTATAGAAAGACAGCGTCTCAGCGATCTTGTGTTTGTTCAGTACAACATGCGCCTCAGAAGACTGTAAGTTGGAAACTTTTGCTTCTTCTTGATTACAACATGTCTGTTCAAAACAGAACTAAAAGAGTTCTCTATCACCTTCAGGGGAGTTGAAAGCGGAGATGACAATGTAGACCCGTTATCACAGAGCAACATGGATCTTCTTGAAGACTGGGTTTCAAGAAACCAAGTTTACATAGAAGGAAATGGAAGCTCAGACTGGAAGTCACTCGAGTCCTTTAAGAGGACAGAAGTGGCAACTGTTATCATCGATGAAACAGAAGACTTGGGGTCAGGTAATAATAATCTTTCACCGAATCTAGTTTTTTTTGGAGATAGAATAATGGGGGTGAGAAGTGTTTGGTTTTTAATGGAAATGTGTGAACAGGTTTTGATGATGCTGAGATATTCAAAGGAGAAAAAGAAGTGAGTGATGAAGGTTATTTCACAAACATATCGGAGAAGCTGTTCACGTGAACTCACTTAAGAAGAATCTCTTTTCTGTAATGATAGGGTTTGTTTGCTTTGGGGAGAAACATTTGTGATTTTTCTCTTAGGCTTGGTTGCTTTGTATTCTATTTAGAGTTTTTTTACCAGTTACTAATTTATGATGTGTGTCCCATAAAAACTATTAATTGCTGAGCATGCATTTGTTTTCTTTTACGTTGGTGATGTCCAGAACCATTCAGACATGTTTGATTACTATTATGTAATGAGTATTTGCATCCCATATACAAACTAAACCCCTAAATTAACTATCTACCATTTTTCTCTCTTATCTCTCCTCCTCCCCTCTCACTATTTTTCCCCCAAAACCATGGCATATTCCTAATATCCAAGTTCTTTATGGATTTTAGGCCAATTCACCCATGTAATTTCAAGGTTTTGTCTAATCTCCAGAATGATCATTTGTTTCACAGTCCCTCTTCTATCTTGTGTATAATTTATATATTTTGATAATGGTCCTCATGGATTTTGTTTGGACATAGACTAATCTTGATTCTTGTAGTAAGTGAAAAGGAAGAGAATTAAATTAAGACACTAATTGAGTTAAAATATAGTTTGTAATTATCATCAACAGAGTTACGGGTTAAGGTTGTGTGGTTCTCAAGAAGGCATGTTATATAAAGTCTTATCCTCAAAGAGAAGATAAGCTTGTTTTGTGTTGTGCTGTGTTGAGAGACAGAAAGAAAATGGATGGGCTAAGCCATATCGGTCTCCCTGTTCTGGGAATACTCGCAGTCTCCGTCGTCACTTTCTATGCCGTCAGCTTCGCCGAGATCAGAGAGGTTAGTCCGTGTTGTTATGAAACAACTCTTCTGTTCAGTTTCTGAGTAGAAGAAAGATCATCAAGACATTCTTGTTCTTGTTTGCAGAAATCGTTTAAAGATTTGTACGACTCGGAGAATGGAGAGGGAGCAGGGTTCAAGACTTCACTAAGTTCTAGAGAGCGAAGATTGAAACGAGAAGCAAATAAAAAACGTCCTCGTTCTTGAATGGTTCCATAACATAATCATGTTCTCTAATAGATGTTTAAAAGAGATGCTCTCTGATTCAGTAGTGTTCTATGTTTTTTTTTTTTGTTTGGTAAAATGTTAAAATTGTTCTATGTATTTCGTTTTCAAGTAATATTAAACTTTTATGCATCTTTTAGTTTCTGATCACATAGTAAGAACTGAGAAGTCGTATTGTTGTCTATTCGATTTCCACATGCACTACATTAACTAGACTTGTATTATTCGAAAAGAAAAAGATACATTGCATCTCTATTATGGTTCTGAATATTATGCATTTTAAGCACTGAAATGTGTGACTCTGCTGCTTCTCACTTCTTTTGCCGAGTCTTGACGTCTTTCACCCTCTCTTCCGTCGCCTTCAACGCCTTCCCATAGATAGTAATCAACTGCAAAAATTGATAAGAACCCAAAGAGGAGACTTTTAGGGAAACTGGACACAAATCAAATGTATCAAGATCGGTCGTTTACCTCATCAATCTCTTCAGGTGAGATAATGAGGGGTGGACACATCATTATGAGATCCCCTGCAACACGGACTATCATCCCTTGCTTCTTGCACTCGGCTGCAAAGTAGTCGCCAACACCTGGTAAACATCAAAATGAAATATTTAGCATGTGCAAAGTAAAACATTCTAACACGGCCTACATATAGTTTGAGACTTTACCCCATTCTGGTGGAAATGGTTCATCTGGCGATTTGTTTTCTGTAAACTCAGTGGCGAGAATCAAACCAGTTCCTCTGATCTGAAAACCATCACACCATTCTCCTCAGTCATATACTTCATAATAAAAGGAACTCATAACTAGTGACTAAAATGAATTGTACCTCTCCAATTATAGGACTAGTGGAGAAAGCTTTAAGACCTTCTTGAAACCTTGTCGCAACTCTGTCTACATTCTCTGGTATCTTCCTCTCCCTGCAACAAGGTTTGATATTCTTATGTAAACTGTAAAGAATGTGTGATAGATTTTGAGTTTTATTTTTGACAAAATACAGTTTGAACGTACTTGTATATCTTTAACGCTTCAATTGCTACAGCACATGAAACTGGATGACCAGAATAAGTAAACCCATGCGCAAAAATACCTGAAAAAGAAAACAAGTTTTATCAACATTTTAAGATCAGGACATATAACTCTTGGTGAACATAATAATAATACAGACCTATCTTGTTGCTTTGAGAATAAATGACATCTGCCACTTTTTGACTCACAAGAACGGCTCCAATCGGGGTACATATGCTGAAGACAATGCCTGCATACTATTAACAGTTATAACATGTTCCAAGTCTACTAACCAGCTCGGAAAATCTCACCTTAGCTAAGGACACAAGATCGGGTTTGATGTTGTATTTGTCACATCCAAACATTGTCCCAAGCCTTCCAAATGCACATATTACCTTAAAAGAAAGTCAAAAAACAAAATACAATGGTTGATGATATTTTTCTTCTTGATAGATTTATTTTGGAGTTTAAGTTGATATTGTGTGTGGACTGATAGTAATTTTTGATTACACATGTACCTCATCAGCAATGAACAAGATATTATTATCTCTTAAGAATAGCTTGGACCTGTAGCACATATATAAAGAGCAAAAAAGTATATTATACGTATCACATTTGATAATTGATATGCTATATTGGTACTTGATTAGTACTAACAAAAGAAAAATTGTGTGTGAAAATAACCTTTTCAAAGTAGGTATCAGGTGGAGGTATCACACCCCCAGCACCCATGAGTGGTTCAGCTATAAAAGCACCAATCTGAAGACACAAGATATTTTGTGTTAGACTACTCTAGATGCAAAATGCATTTATGTAAAAAGTAATGTATCAAACATGTACTGTTTCTGGTCCTTCTTTAAGAATAAGATCTTCTAAATTCTTGGCTAATCTGGTTGAGAACTCCTCTTCACTTTCACCTGCACAAAAAAAAAAATCAAATGTTTCAAAAAAAGTGTTTCCAAAAAAAAAAGAAACAAAAAATTTTGATCAATTTTTCTAAGTTCAAACCACTATCATACCGGGAAGATGATAACGCCAATAGTGAGGACAATCCGTGTATCGCATATATGATGAAGGTAAGTCAAAGTCCTGATGCATCGCCGGGATGCTACAACAGTGGATTATATTTGTTAGAAAAGTTGTCCGTATTAGGAAAAAGTTAATTAGAACTTTTCTATCTTACCCAGACAAACTTGCTGATACCAGAGTGGAGCCATGGTACCTGAAAACATAACACAACATTAGTAAACTCTTTGAGATCTAATGGAAGCATACAAAACTATTATTAGGGATATATGAGATAACAAACAGAAACGCAAAGAAAAACATAGGTTATGCGACTTTGGCTACATATATTAATATAACACTCACGATGTGCTTCTTGCAATGATCTTTTTCTTCTTGGGCCTTCCAAGTGCATTATTGTAATACCAAACCAGCTTAACCTGCATTAGGTGAGATCAGAGACTAAGATATATATCTTAGGTAAGATTGGAAGAAGCACATCTTTAGTTCTAGGACTTTTAACTATATGAGAAACTTAATCCAAAAATGCTATACAAAGATACTTTTAGTTGAATTTTCTGTAAAATTAAGAAATCTTAAATTAAATACTAATATTAATATATACATAAACATACATATATATGTATATTGAGAATCCCCAATGCTAAACACTCTCAGTGAGATGCTCTAACAGTTTAATTAGAATAAGAGTTAATGGAAACCTGGGTATCGTTAGCCTCTGATCCACTGTTTGTAAAAAACGCTTTAGCCATTTTTGTGGATGTGAACATGTCTAAAAGATCTTGAGCAAGATCCTGTTCTTGAGCAAGATCCTGTTCTTGCATGAGATAAAAGAAACATCACAATGATCAAAACTGTACGTAGAAACAAATGAGAAGAATGATACCATAGAGGGAAATTCTAAGTACCAGTGCAGGTTTAGTAGTAAAGTTCCAAAAGGAGTGGTAAAACGGCAAGGTCTTCAGCTGCGCAACTGCAGCAGAAACAAGCCGTGCCTCACTTCCTCCTGCCAGAGTTTGAGGGTTATATATCAATCACATAACTCGCACAACAAGTCATGTACACTAATTAAAGGAGCAAACTTACCTAAGGCGGTGCACCATAGACCAGCAAGAGAGTCAAGATACTTTTTCCCATGGGCATCATACACATAACATCCCTGAAAATTATGAAGAAAGAGAGAAGAAATGTTACATTTGCACGTTTGTATGGATGAACATTTACAATGTAGTATTATCACAAGAGGGTCACCTCGGATTTTGCTATGATCATCGGATCTAAATCAGAAGTCTGCCACCCAGCTGTAAAAGGTGCTAGCATACTATGACCTTTAGGCCTGTTATATAGCATCTTCACAATATCAATAATAAACTCTTAATGCTTATAGTGGAACCTCCTTCAAATCAATTATCTACTATATGAATTTGTGTAATGACTAGCACCATAAGTGACATAATTACGGAAATGATTATTGTTTTTGGAAAAGAATATTTCTATATTTTGGTGAATGAGATCCATCAAAGAAGAAAATAACTTTTTAAAAGAGAGAAAATGCTTACTGTTTATTCCTAAATTTAGAATACTAAAGCTTCTGATTTTATCAGAAAATACTAGGAACATAATTGGTTAAGGTTGTAATTTTTGTTATAAATTTTATGCGGTAAATTTTGTTGGTTGTGGCTGTAGAATTTAGTGTTGTGGAATTTTGGTTATATATTACAACAATTACAATAATCACTTCATTAAGTCTTTCAAAACTAAAATGTTAGTGATGTGTATTTTACTTCTCGAGTTCAAAAGAAAAAAAAAATTGTATACCTAAAAATTATGCATGTGAAAAGATTCTACAACATTTATCAATCAAACCTTAAAACTTCATATTTCCAAAAAAAAAATCTCATACTTATCTTATAGAAACGTTAACTACCAAAACTTTCTAAAATTATTGAAAATATATTCTTACTAAAGGTGTTCATGTTACTTTAACGTAATAACTTTGATAACCTTTTTGTTGACAAAAAGTCGAAAGTTTGGTATTTGTTTGGCATTTTCCCCCACGATAATTTAATACTTTTCAAACTTCAGATAAATATGTAATTAATCATCGTGTTTACTTTAGAAAAAACATCGTCGAATGGTTTTTTACTTTACTGTATTTTAATGATGATTGATAATCACACCCAAATATTTAACTATGAAACTCACCCAACTGTGTTTTTTGTAACCCCTGATGCCTCTGTGGTGAAGATCCTCGAACCAGGCATGCGTTGGGAAGAAGCAGGATCCCTGCTCTGCAAATTAACCTGACATTGTTATAAGATAATAGTTAGAAAAGTCAATGATCATCCACTTGATCTTTTGCCGACTTAATTAAACCGACGTTTATAATTTATATATTTCCTAAGTACTATAAATAGCCAGAATTGCTTTGTATCTAAGAGAAGAAGTTAAGTCATATTTTTATTACATCTCTCCCGTTGACAATAAGAAAATACAAAAGCTATATTATTCATCTCTCTCACATACGATACACATATACATATAATCAGAAAATATCTATCATCTCCTCATTTTTATAACACATTATCTGCACGAAGCTCTGATCATATATTAAATAAGGTTATATCGGTGAGGTATGGTTTAATTTATGTTTTTCAATAATTTTAATTATCTTAATTTTATTATTGTTTCGGAGTAAGAGGCTAGGCCTTCTCCGTTTATTTTTCAGGATGATAGGCGTTGCCTTCCCTGGCTGATCGATAAGATGGCTATGCTGTCACGATCAGAGAAACACGTGATAGGCTTTGCTTCCATGAATAAAAAGATCAAAATGGATGACTATGTCACCTCGGATCTTTAATCATAATGAAAGGTCAAAAATGGTAGACTAAGTCTCCTCGGACCTTGAATAAAAAGAAAAGGTTAACATGGCAGACTATGTCTCCTAAAACCTTGATAAATGATCAACATGGTAGACTATGTCTCCTCGGATCATTTGGACGGCTAAGCCTCCAGTTTTATTTATGCTTTTAAATTTCTGCAATTTAAATTTCTGCAATTTAATTTTTGCTTTTATTTTATGCTTTTTAAATACTGCAATTTAATTTATGCTTTTATGTTATGCTTTTAATTTATACATTTAAATTCCCGTCTTTATTATATTATTATACTAGGGGTATTCCGGCGCTACGCGCCGGGTTTGGACGTTTATTTTTATTCAAATTTGGAAATCTTGTGTTCTTCTAGTAGTTAATTGTGTGCATCGTGCCTGAGGCCAATTTTCTTTGTAGAAAAGTTTGCTGGATGTTTCTGTGTTTTTATTACGGTAAGTAGTGTGAGTATTATGTTGTTTGTCAAACAATTCTCTTATTTTTCAGATTTTAGTGTACAGCAATTTTGTTTGTAAATCTTATTTGGGTCGAATTTATGAAACTGTGTAATATATTATTATTGCTGTAAAAATAGAATTTGTTTTTGTAGTGCTAGTATTAATGTATAGCGGTTCCTAAAGAAAATTTTTAAACCACAGCATGCTATTTGTGGTAGGAGGAAGTTCTCTTATTTTATCAACAATGGTGAGTTATTTTATCAAAAAAAAAAACACTGGTGAGCTGTTCAAGTTCGTTAATCAATATCTTACACTTTAAAAAAGCTGTTCCCTGCTTGAGTTTCATGGTCAAAGTAAAAGTGGGTGCCAGATGTATTGTTCAGGAAGAGATGACTTGTAGTCAGAAATAAGGCTAGCATCAGAGTTGTCATCATGATGTTATGTAAGTGAAATACTAACAACAATAACATTACAGTTACCTCCTACTAATTTAGGATTAATGTAAGTAGCAACGAATACCTTTGGATCCCCACCAATAAGCATTAATTATATTTGTCATGTAGAAGACTTGCTCCCATATCAAACACACTAACTCATATAATATTTTCTTTACAGAAAGGGATGAGGTTCAAATTTTTTTTTACCACATCTAATCACTTAACAATAAAACATAAAAAGAAGGAGTTGCAAAACTATGTTACATGTCTACTCGGATTGTTAGCCGTTTGATGGTATGGGTTTTTATCGTTTTAAGTGCTTTGGATTCATCTGACTTTACCTATGAAATCTGGAAGTTAAGTAGTTTAGTCTAACATGGAAAATCAAAACTTAAAGAAGAAAAGTGTGACGCTGAAGTTGTATTTTGTTATACATACCAGGCAAATCAATGTTTGTGTTGGTCATAGCCATGCAGTGTTCATATTTGCGAAATCTAAACCTTTCTATAGCTTCCCAATGATTAGAGCGTTATTTTCTCCATTATAGGTAAATCAAAACAGACATAGCAAATCAGTGTTTGTGTTAACCAAGAGCATTAGTTGGTCGTAATGCCAAAACCTAAAGCTCTCCGTTGGGACTGGGTTGATAGTTTCGGCTGTTTCAACGAACATAATTTCATCCCTAAATGTGATAGCTACATGGGGGTCACCAAACCGAAAACTCGGGTTGCATCTTGTAACATTAAACACCCTTAGTTCATAAAGGGCCTCTTCTTTCCAGAAATGGTTAAAATTGTTAAGCTGATAATCATTTATTTCCGCATGGATTAACATAGAATGAGAAGAGAATAGGGTTTAGATAACATCAAGCTGATTAAGTTTTGATTGCAAATAGAGGAATAATGAATAGACATACCATACCATCGATCAGAACCATCTCAACATCCATCAAATAACCGGATTTCTTAAGCTTCATGGCCTCCCACAATCGAAGCAACTTTGTTTGGAAAATCTCTCAACAATAACCGGCCTTCAACTCTGAGAAATGAATTGGTGAAGAGGCTATTATCGGAGCGTTTGTTTGAGAAGATATGAAAGCAATAATTAGGAAGAAGATTATGATTAACAAACGATTCTCAAACGGTCTATATGTACACTGCATGAAGATAATGCCAGAGTCTTTGATTGATTGACATTAATGTGTGCCGTTTCGTCATAGGCGAATGTGAAGAGAAATCAGGATTTCATCAGGTACAGATCTTCGACAGAGATCTCTAGGTCAGAGAAAAGAAATCTGTTAAAAGAGATCATGACTTAAAAAACTGATAAAAGGCCATGAATTAAAAAAGGTTTGCCACAAACTAATGGGTAATGATTAATTGGTTACATATAACAACATGGATCAGATCATGTAGAAGCCCACTAAAAGATACCGGAACTTAGTTTGGTTAGTTTGTAAAAATGAAAATCAAATATGAGGATAAGCAAATAAACAATGAGACCTACAACCAACCAGAGCTTGACACATGTCAGAAAACCCCCCTATATTAAAAAGTGATGTGGATAGCTTGAGAGGGCAGATAACTTAACTTTATTATTATAGATTATTATTCTATGAATACAGTTATCATGTCGAATCTGACAAAGCTCGAAATAAATGCCCTGGATATTACGGGAAATAATTATATGACCTGGGCAGTGAGTGCAAAGATGCACCTGAGAGAAAACGGGCTTTTGAAAACCATCGATAATACAAAAACGGTGTCGGATGAGAAAAAGACTAAAGCCATGATATTTTTACGACACCACATACATGATGGTTTAAAAGATGAATATATTATGAAAGAGGAACCTTTGGACCTCTGGCAATCTTTAAAAGAGAGGTTCGATCACCAGAAATATGTGATCTTACCGAAAGCTAAACACGAGTGGGTCCATCTCCGGTTCCAGGACTATAAAAGTATTAGTGAGTTTAATTCCGTTATGTTTGGAATTACATCTAGGATGTTGTTATGTGGAGAGAAAATAAGTGATTATGATATGATCGAGAAAACTCTCTCCATGTTCCATCCTGGAAATATAGTCCTGCAGCAACAATACCGGGCGAGTGGATATACCCGTTACTCGGAGTTGATGCAATTCCTCCTTGTAGCGGAGGAGAATAATCAACTCGTGACTTTAAACCATCAGGCTCGTCCCACTGGATCTGCTCCATTCCCTGAAGCGAATGTTGCATCATCCAGTTATGATAATTCGAGAGGACGAGGTCGTGGACGCGGTCGAAACCGTTATCATGGTCGTGGAAGAGAACGAGGAAGAAGATTCCGTCCATATGATAAAAGAAATAATAAAGATTTCCACGAAAATGAAAAAGGTGAAAGGGGCCGGGATGACAAAAAGCAAACAGTTTGCTACAGATGCGGTATGAAAGGGCATTGGGCACATGTTTGCCGTACGCCAAAACTATAGCCGATCTGTATAAAGAATCCCAAAAGGGAAAAGAAAAAAGAGAAAGAAGGTGAAACAAACTTCATCTCTGATGAACCCGGGCCATCCTTTCATGGTTTAAATGATGATACTCATCTCGACGTATCAGACTTTCTGGTTGAGCCAGAGAGTATCGATGAGTAATATAAAATCGATGTGATCTAAGTTTACTGTATTATAGTATCTATATCTTTTGTTGTAAGATATATGTTATGTTTCTTGTTTAATAATGCATATTTTATGTTATGTGATATAAGTTTAATAATACATGTTTTCAGAAAGAATGCCAAACTTTGAGACTATGGATGGAGATATGTGTTTGGCAGATAGTGCTACGACGCACACGACAATCAAAGATAAGAAATATTTCTCCAGTCTCAAAATAAAAGATTACGCTGGAAGCGTAAGTACAATATCTGGTAATGCAAAGATTATAATGGGCTCTGGAAGAGTGAAATTTTCAATGCCAGGGGGGACGATATTTGAAATAAGTAATGCATTATACTCCCCCGAGTCTAATAGAAACTTATTAAGTTTCAAGGATATCCGAAGAAATGGATACCATATTGAGACTATGTGTAAAGACGGCATTGAATTTCTTTGCATTAAGTCCGAGGGGAAACATATATTGGAAGAGTTAAAAATGTTATCCTCTGGACTATATTGTACAGAAATACACATGACTGAGTCCTATGCCATGGTAAACATGAAGTTTACTGATACATTTAAAATCTGGCATGAGAGGCTAGGACATCCTGGTTCAGTCATGATGAGAAAAATAGTGCAAAATTCAAATGGCCATCCGTTGAAAAACAGAAGAATTTTGCAGACGGGCGAGTTTACATGTAAAGCATGTTCTCAAGGAAAACTTATAACTCGGCCATCACCAGTAAAAGTAGGCAATGAATCACCAATGTTTTTAGAAAAAATACATGGTGATATATGTGGGCCGATCCACCCACCATGCGGGCCGTTTAAGTATTTCATGGTATTGATTGACGCATCTAGTAGATGGTCAAATGTGTGTCTTTTGACAACACGAAATACGGCTTTCGCAAAGTTTATTGCCCAAATAATAAGGCTGAGAACGCAGTTCTCAGAATATGCCATTAAGAAAGTAAGACTTGATAATGCTGGTGAATTTACATCGCAATCCTTTAATGATTATTGTATGTCAGTGGGGATTGATGTAGAACATCCAGTGCCCCATGTTCATACACAGAATGGCATGGCTGAGTCATTAATTAAACAGTTGCAGTTGATTGCAAGGCCGTTAGTCTTGAGGACAAAGCTCCCAATTTCAGTATGGGGTCATGATATTTTGCATGCGGATGCACTAATTCGGTTAAGACCGAGTGCATATCATAAGTACTCCCCATTACAATTGGCGTTTGGGCATGAGCCAGATGTATCCCATCTCCGTGTCTTTGGGTGTGCGGTCTATGTTCCGATGGCTCCGCCACAAAGGACAAAAAGGGCCCACAAAGGAGATTGGGAGTATATGTGGGTTATGTGTCACCAAGTATAATAAGATATCTGGAACCAGTAACTGGTGATATGTTTACGGCACGATTTGCCGATTGTCATTTTAATGAAGAAGAATTTCCAGCGTTAGGGGGAGGAATTAAAGAAATTCCTAAAGAGATTACTTGATGTACACCATCGTTGTTACACCTTGATCCCCCTACAAATCAAAGAGAGCTGGAAGTTCAGAAAATTGTGCATTTGCATAATTTGGTAAACTAGTTACCAGATGCGTTCACAGATACGAGAAGGGTGACAAAATCATATATACCCGCTGAAAATGTTCCATCAAGAGTTGTTGTTCCTAAAGAACACACTGATGGAGATACAATAAATGAGCCTAAGGCTCAGTTAAAGAGGGGGAGACTTGTGGGTTCTAAAGATAAAAATCCCCGAAAGAGAAAGAAATTGATTGAGCAAAAAAAGAAGGTTCTAGAAGAACCTGATACTGAAAAATGTCTGAAAGAAGGCATAAATGAAAAGGTTCAAGAAGAACCAAATAAAGATAAGGATCCAGATGACGAGGAGGGAACAGAAAAGTATGAGATTTCCATCAACTACGCCCAAGATGAAAAGTTATGGATCAGAAATAAGATAAAAGATGTAGATGGAATATTCTCCTTTTCTGTGTCCAAAGAAATAGATCACGAAAGTGATGATCCTGATCCAAGGTTCATTTTAGAATGTATGAAAAGACATGATTGGGAGGAGTGGAAGAAGGCCATTGAAATTGAATTACTCTCCCTAAATAAAAGGAATGTCTTTGGACCTATAGTCATAACGCCTGAGAATGTAAGTCATGTTGGGTATAAGTGGGTATTCGTGAGAAAAGTAAATGAAAAGAATGAAGTAACACGATATAAATCCCGATTAGTAGCCCAAGGTTTTTCTCAGAGACCGGGAATTGATTTTGAGTAAACGTATTCCCCGGTAATGGATGCAATTACGTTTAGATTTTTGATGAGCCTTACGGCGTCAAAGAATCTTGAAATGCATCTTATGGACGTTGTGACTGCATACTTGTATGGATCATTGGATAATGATATATACATGAAACTCCCTGAAGGATTAAAAATGCCAGAAGCATTGAAAGAGAAACCCAGGGAGATCTGTTCGGTCAAGCTACAGCGATCACTTTACGGATTAAAGCAGTCCGTTCGCATGTGATACAATCGCTTAAGTGAATATCTCTTGAGAAAAGGATATGTGAATAATGCGATATGTCCATGCGTTTTTTTAAAGAAATCTGGCTTTGTGATCATTGTTGTATATGTTGATGACCTGAACATTATTGGAACTAAAAAGGAGGTTGATGATGCACGAACTCATATGAAAGAAGAGTTCGAAATGAAAGATCTCGGAAAGACAAAATTTTGTCTTGGGCTCCAGATTGAGCATCTCCGAGAAGGTATATTTGTGCATCAATCAAATTATACGAAAAGGTTATTGAAACGCTTTCGTATGGACAAAGCAACTCCGTTGAGTACTCCAATGGTTGGTAGGACTCTCGATGTTGAGAGAGATCCTTTTAGACCCTGTGAAGATAGCGAAAAGATGTTAGGTCCAGAAGTACCTTACATGAGTGCTATCGGTGGGTTATTGTATCTACCGAACTGTACTAGACCTGATATTGCCTTTGCCACTAATCTTCTTGCAAGATATAGTTGTGCTCCTACTCGCAGGCATTGGAACGGAATAAAGCATATATTTTGTTACCTCCAAGGTACAGTTGATTTAGGGTTAATGTATTTTAGAAAACCCGAGTTTGGTATGGTTGGTTTTGCAGATGCAGGATACTTATCAGATCCTCATAAGGCTCGTTCGCAAACCGGCTATGTTTTTACAATTGGTGGGACAGCGATCTCTTGGCGTTCACAGAAGCAAACTCTGGTTGCAACATCTTCGAATTGTGCAGAAACCATTGCACTTCACGAAGCCTATCGAGAATGTGTGTGGCTTAGATCA